TTCTAAAGGGATGAAATATAAGGGATGAAACAGAAGAACAAATATTTGCATAGTATCAAATCAAAATAAAGATAGATATTTTACAGATTAAAAACTTCTCTCCTTTACCAATAAATAATTGAATTGCTATTACAGGGTGAATCAGAGTACATTTGGTAAACAGAAGTAATCGTATGTAAACACAATCATGTTTATGGATAGAAAAAAGTGTATCAGAGAACTGTGCTTAGCACTGGTAGACAAAATAAAACATGCGTTCTTTACATGGCCACTGCATTACCCTAGCAACTTCCTTCCAGATTCCTCATCAGAAATTTGTAATACGTGAAGAATAAAGGGAGAATCCAGGTTGCATTTTACAGTGACTGCCTGGCATCCAGGTATTGGAGTGTTACATCAATACTTACGTGATAGAGATATGATCAGTAAAGCTCATGGCTACAGACCACAATAAAGCATTTCTGTTCTTCAGTAAAGGCAACTTCAGCATTAAGTCCATTTTCTGTACCAGTCCTCATAATATTATGTCATATACCTAATAAATTCCCTAGTTTTCCTGGATTGGCATATTGTTTGAAAATCACTTTATGATTCTTACAGGAAAAATATTCTCAGATACTGAAAATTGCTTTAAATTCAGTTGTTAATATTGTTAGTGGTGGTTTAAATAGAAATCTCATTTAAGCCTGCATGCATTTCTGCAGGGGGGGTATTGGAGAACTGAATCCTTGGCTCTTGGTCTAGTTTTTAGACTAGATCCAGACTCAGAAAGAAAAAGTGAACTCTCACATGAACGGTCTGGCTGTGATACTTTGAACGAAACTACAAAAAAAGCCCTAGAAGCAGTGGACCATATGCAATGTCTAATTGATTAATCCTACTCTTTGGGTATTTCTGTTATTTCTAGTAAAAAAGAATCATTAAAAAATGGTTTCTGAGATTTTGTTTGTTGACTATGAGCCCTGGCCTGACCTTAGCCTGGAATTCAAATCCCCAGTAGAAGTCTGAAATTAATCTACTGCTGGCTTAGTTATCAGTAATTGTAATTATTAACACAAGTATCCAGTAAATGAATGGCTTTCAGTGACATGATATTTTAACTTAAAGTAATGGATAAATAAAAATGCACTTCCTTCTTACTTTACAGTATCTTTTCCCATAGCAATGCAGGATCTGGTCCTTACATGGGCATGGTACAAGACACAAGCCCAGCCATTTGCCTGTAAACATATGCATTTGCTCAGACACTGAAATTCCACATATTACAAGCCTAAGCAGTTGAAAACTGCTCCTCCTGTACCAGAGTTGATGGTTTGAAGCTTGCCTTCTCCGCAGCTAATCAGTGGAGCAGAGCGAGAGCAGCAGAAGCGGCTGCCCTGGGAACAGGGGTACTGGAGCTCCAAACCCTTCTTGCACATTAGTGTTCACAATGCGTGCCGGCTCCCTGACAAAGGACATGCTTTCACCATGTGAAAGGGTCCAAGAGAGCTCCCTCACTATCCCATGGAGGGATTTAGTGTCCTCCCACGGTCTGTTCCATGCAGCATGAAGGAAACCTGCTGTTGGGAGCTATCTGACCTGAAGCTAGCTCCACTGGCAGGAGCAGACTCAGAGGAGGCTGACAGACGGTTCAAACGCTGTGATTTCTTGTGACATCTCTCCAGCTATCTGCCTGTAAGCTGCTGTATACGGAAGAGGTTTAATGGGCCTGAATGGAATACCTTCTGCCTATTGTCAGAGGACTCAAAAGCCTGGACCATCACCAAAACAGGAAACAAAATCTAAGCTGTGAATCCAACCGAACAAATTGGCCAGATTATTACAGTGTTGGGAAAGCCCATCTTTTATTGTAGCTGGACTGCGTGCTGCTCAGCACTGCGGGCAATTGGAGCACAGCAGCAGTAGGAAATGACCCTGTGGGGAGCAGCCTGCAAGCCAAACACAGCATAACCCAGAGAGGACAGTATGCAGAAGTAGGGAGGAGGCAAGGGTAGGGCAGATGAAGAGTTACAAGGAAGAAGCCGGGAACACATTTGTAAAAGTGCCTAAGGGACTACAGGGAAATGTTGGTTTCTTTTAGGACAATAGGAACAGAAGTGAAGGACACAGCTTTGCAGCTGAATTACTGCAGTAATACATAAATTACTGCATGTGCATCATCGTGAGTCATAGCTGAGCAATTAAGGGCACGGATACCTCTCTGCACATTCCAGCTGTGAGGTAAACCAGGCTTTTTTGTGCCTCCTCCCTTGAAGTTTAAGCTTCCACATTTTTCTGGCAAGGAGCACATGCTCATCGCTGATCTGCGGACGTGCAATAACTCAATGGACTCTCTGGGTCAATAAACCGAATGCCCATGGGATTAAGGCTACACTCCTGAAAATTAGTTAGTTAAACTCTAGGTCAAGCTTTGTCTTATGAGGCTGAGCTGCTGCAGAAAAAATAGAGCAGGTGATCATGAAACTAAATACCGCCTCGTGCACAGAGAGAAGACATGAAGGTGGCACAAGCAACTCCATTCTGCCACCCCTTGGCTGAGTCCTTCACTCAGCAATATTTGCTCTTTAACCAAGCCAGTTGAATGCCATGTCTATGCTGATGAATCAATATACGAATCACCTCTGCACTGAAGGCTAAAAGAAGTAGCTGAAGAAATAAAGAAAATAATTAGCGTAGTCTAGATGCTGCCCCCAGGCTACCTTCCTGCCACCTCCATTGAGATGGATGATGGACCACGAGGTCCAGGGAAGACTGAATTCATAGAGTTGTATACCACTGGCTCACTGTTTCTGGAGGGGCCTGGCAGAGTAGCAAAACAAGGGACTAAATAAAGGATTTCTCTGGCTGATCATGCTCCTTCCTGCAGTGACTGCTGCGGCTGAGAATTGCCCTGGAGGTGTCCCTCCCCCAGACCCTACACAGTGGTCCAGCAAGCGCCAGACCTCCTCCCTTCCCCCCCAGTTCACAGAAGAAAAACACTAAGATGTTTCCGTTGGCTTTTACATCATCTTTTTGTAGAGACTAATCTTCAGGTTCAACAATACATCTTTTGTGAAGCGCTCCCAGCAGAAACTTTAGACACCTTCCCTGAGATCTGTTTGATTACAGAAGACGAGGTAGGATTTGTTTAAACCCAGCTAGATTAATGTCTTGCAGACATTAGTGAAGTGAGATTTAATCAGGTTATTGCTCTACATTTTCCAGGGAAATAAACCACACTTATTACTAGGTTGGAATAAGATGCAAGGCTTGGGCTGAGAAAATTTCATCCTTTTTGTTTTTCCTGGGGGGAACAAACAGTAACTTGAAAATTGTTGCAGGCTGTTGAACAGGGAGCTCAGCAAAAGGCCCCCAACAATTTGTAGGAGGGAAAAGAGAAAGCAAGCCATAATGGCTAGAAGCCCAGAAGTGGACCTCAGTTCCCATTCCCTGCCTTGTGGAGGTACAATCCTGACTCTGTTTTACTCAGGCCTAATGCTGTATGCTCCGTATCTGTACAGAAAGCAGGCAGGAGTGTTAAACAGCATTTAAAGCAGACTGCTGAGGTCCATTTCAAATACTCCAGGTGAACTCTTCTAAAACCCTGGGGACCTCACTCCTCTTCTGAGTGTCTGTTTCTGCCTGGGACATGGGGATGTCTCCTTGCATCAGGGGGATCTTGTGGGATCAAGCAACCTTTGCAAACCTTCTTCAGGCCTTGAGTGTAAACTGGTCAGCAGGTCTCAGAGTGCAGGCATATCCTGCCGCAATGGGTTCTAACTTTGCAATATGTGTTTAACAATGAACATGCAACTGTATGTATTCACCCCCAAACAAAAAGGTTGGCTAGGGGAAAAAAAAAAAAAAGGCAAAAAAGCCCCAAGTTCTTCTTCCAGACCTTTGATTTCAAAACTGCTCTTTTTCTCATTCCAAAACCAAAAAAGACTTAATTCTCAGCTACACTAGCAGCGTTTTCTTTAGAAGAAAATGTTAGTTTGTCCCCTTGTCTAAAACCACGTATGTGCAAGAGATGAAGTTTGGGAAATCAAACTGCAAAGGTCCTCTCCTCTACACCAGCATGGGAACAGACAGCTGAGGCCAATACAATACAAATCTTTCTGCTAACTACAGGTTTGCATGTGCTGAAGTGCCCAAACCCCAAAAGCTTTATATCCATTTCCCCTTACCCAATGGGCTGCACGAACACTGTAGAAAGCAAATTACAGTAACACAACCCGCAATCAAGTTTCAAATCATGCAGCAAAGCAGCACAAAACACAATGGGACCAAGTCAAAATCTTATTGTGGAGCATAATAAAATATATCCTGTTTGGTATGAAGGAGAAAAGGAAATATCAGGCAAGGCAGCACAACTGCTTGTAAATACCCTCCTGCCAATGCTTTCCCTGGATAAATTAGTCCTCTGAACCCTGACGGCATCAGCATGAATCAGCCTGTCGGCTCCAAGGTAAAGGCTACCATTCTGTTTCGTGTTCAATGGGAACTCTTTTCCCAACCTTTTCTTGGCTTCCTGTTTAGAAAGAATAGACTCTCCAGAGACAATTTTGGATCTAGACCACAATCTTGCTCCCTTCAGATAACTAAGTATCTCTGAGCAGGAGTACATTTAAAGAAGCAGCTGGTAATTATGAGCCAAGTGCTTACTGGCAGGATTTCCCCTTGCTGCTGAGCCAATGCTTTTGGGAGCTAAATGACTCTTTGGTGATAATTATCAGGTAAAACTCACAAGCCAGGGGAGGTTCCCTCATTAGAACCATCAGCAAGAAACAATGCAAAGGTGGGCGGAGGATGGCTGAAAATTGTGTGTGAGGGTTGCTTGACTCCCTTGTCCTATGCACATCAGACTTGGTTGTACATAAATTGCTGGGCATTTTCTAAGTAGTGCTTGAAAGGTACAAAATTTGTTCCCACACCTACGGCAGTAATAAAACCAAATGACCTTTTCCTTCCAGCTAATCAAAAAGAACCGAGCGGCACTGGAAACTCATCACAGCACTTACTCTTTCGGAGGGTTAAGGTCTTCTGGGCGAGCCTCGAAGAACCTGAAGACTTCATCACACTGTGAAATGTGAGGAGGAAGCCGAACCAGTGCCTGCAAAACAAAACAGGGAGGGGGAAGCACTTAGAAAAGTCAAGTTCAAAACATGGCTTCAAACGTCTAAACTACCAAGCAAGAGCAGGCAAAACAGTCCTGGCAGGGAGAAGGGAATACAAATGGAAAGCATCGTGCCTGGCTACTTACCTGAGAAGAAAGGAAATAGCATATCTTGACTGCAAATGTAAGTGGAATGCAGTGAATTGAGACAAGCAATGGTTCTTAGAGTCAGCCAATGTAATTTTTTTTGCCATGTGTACAAGAGCAGAATTTGGTCCATGTGTGTAAAACCATAAGGCTGAGAAGATAAGTGCTCTGTGGCTGGGACAGTCTCCGTGACGTGTTTGCACAGCACCTCAAACAATGCAGTTAGGGCTTGTGGGCTCTATGTCAATGCACACAAGTTCAAGCAGTGAAAATCTACAGACTCAACATCCACTAATACAACAGATTAATGTGCTCCATAAAGCTTTCCATTAAGCACTGTCAATAGCAAAAGCAGAGTTTGCTAAAAAAAAACCAAACCCAACAAACCAAACAACAATTTACTCCTAAATGAACAGGAAAGGAAGTTTGATTAACTTTCTGGAAAAAAAAAAAAAAAAGGCAGAGAGGCTGTTTCTGCATGAAGAAGGCTTTGCAGCACATCCTGGGTAACAACATCCATGCACTCTGCAAGGCACAGGCACACAGCGCTTGTTGCACTCAGCAATAGTTTGGGAACTACACAATACAATTTGGGAAGCAACCACATAATGTTGAAGTGTACTGGAAAGCAAGACTTCAAATCAATAAGACAAGCATGCAAGGCAGAAAAGTGCTATGAATTCGCTGTTCAGACTCTTGAGCTTGATGGTGCCAAAAGAGGCCAAAGATCCGTCCCCAGTCCACAGAGATGGGAGAGCAGCTCCAACTGACACAACTCTGAAATCGCCTCTAGAAATGACCAGCAGGAACAGAAAAGAGGCTGGAGTTCACCTCCTCCTGTGCTAAGTAACACTGAGAATAAGCTACAAGTTAAATATAGACCAAGCTTCTTAGAGGTGCTGTAAACCTGTTTCACAAAATGAGATGGTCTGGCTCTTCTGGTAGTTGAAAGTAGGACAAACAATGTTGAAAGACAGATGAAAAACTGCACCAGAGCTAAACGAAAGTGTATTAGGGTAAACTGGTTATACTAACCCATGAGACATCTGATTGATCTTGGTCAGACAAACCAGAAAGCCCAGCCAAAGCACAAAGGCAGGACAGGGCAGTTGGTTACCCTTCATGGCTGTTTTTAACTGCGCTTTAGAAGTGGCCAGATTTGTTTCCAAGACTACTCCTGCTTGGGGATGTGAAGGAAAACAGATGAAAAATGAAAAAATCCTGCTCTGAAACTGCAGGTCTCCAGTATTAGATGATGGGGTCTTGTTTTGAGGTGGCCTGAAATTCAAAGCCAAGTGTTTTCAGACCTATAGCTCTCCTTTCTCTGTTTGAGGGATGTTACAAAAGCACAAGGAATATCCACGGGATCTCAGCAGGCCTGTGAAGAATGAGGCACTGGCCCATCATCTGCACTATAGACCAGAAAAAGACCTTGCAGTAAGAAGCAGCATCAGATACCGAAGCCTGGCAACAGCCTGGTGGATCCAAGTGCCGGGGCATGCATACAGAGCGCTGCTGGTTGCTGCACCAATGCAGGAAGAAAACTCAAGTGCTTTAATTTGAATGAATGATGCCCTAGTCCCCACCACTATCCACTCAATCTTGCCATCTTGCCTAAAAAGTAACAAAGGTGCGAGCTCTCTGCCCTTATTCCTAGTGTGTATAAATGAATGCATCCAGCTGGTAAATCAAGACTAACACGGGGAAGTCAGAAACTGCCCAGGAACAGTAATAATTATGGCATGTTGAAAGAGAAATGCCTTGCCAGCACAGGCTAACAAGGACACAGACAACATTAAAGCATGTTTTATTCACCTGCACCTCAAGCAGGAGACAGACTTACGCAGAGGAGCAATGCTGTCTAACCAACAGTGGATGGGGCTGAGATTTAGTGATGGCTCTATTACTAACACCCTTCTTGGTTCGGGCAGGATACTTAACCTCTTTCCATCAAATTCAGCAGGGATATATCTTCAGTTACCCATTTGAAATGCCGAGCAATAACACTTACCTAATCTGCAGAAAGGTTATGAGGCTCAGATATTTAATATCTACAGTGTGGTTTGAAATCTCAAAGGGCTTGATCTTGTGCAGTCAATGGGGCAAGAGCAAGCACTGCAAATGATACGTATCATTACTAGAGAAACACAAATACCCAAGTTATACATATTGCAGGGGGTCCTGGACATCAGACACCTTCTCAAAGAGTCACCACTTCCTTACAGGTCACCGGTGTTCACCCTTCCCAAAAACCAGGCTACAGATGTCAATACTGAGCTGGAGCACAGAGTGGGTTTTCAATGATGGAGGAGCACAAACCCTACCAAGTTGCCATGGAGATTTGTGTTTCTAACTCACAGGACGCTTTAGGAAATCTGACCCCCCTGAATCAGTGGTCCCTGCCTGGAAATCTCTAGGAGCACTGTGGTCCTGCCGGGCCAAAGGGGGATAATTGAAAAGCACCTCAGTGACTCCAGGATTTCACAGGCAGTGGATAAAAATCAGCCGAAGCCATTTCCGCACCCAGCCATCCACATTCCCGCCCCACGGACATGGCAGCTCTGGGGCAGGGCTGGCTCTCCTGCTTCTGACTCACCTCCCAAAGTGCTGCAATTTTCAGCTCTGTGCATAGAGGTGGAATGAAATCCACCCGGTAGTAACTTGCCATTGCACGTTCATCGTTGAGCTCGGGTATAAAGTCTGCAGCCAGTCAATTTTTACTTGTTTTTGTTAAGGAACAAAACCCTAAGAAGCCATAAGAAACACTAATAAAGGGCAAGGAAGTGCAAACGAGGGTGTAAAACCGGGCAGAGTTGGTCTATTGATTTTGGACAGTGGCAGGGAGCAGCAATGCTGTTTTGAGAAACAAACGTCTCTTCAGCAAACATACAACATCCACCTGGGAGCAAGCCAAGTCCAACGCAATTCCAGTGAGCGAACAAAAAGTGCACTGAGGAGATGAGGGACACTGCTGTCGCTCTGCAAGCAGAAAATGCAAGTTTCTGGGATTTCCAGAAAGACAGTTCCAAGGCAGAGCTGCAACAGCCTGAAGGAAGCACTGTGGGGTCAAGGAAAGAAGGGTAAAGAAAAAGAGAAAAACAGATGGTGAAAGGATGGAAAGGACAGGGAAGTGACATTCTTCCTGGGATGTGGAAACCAGAGGTAAATGCACACAGCTCCAACTAGGAAGTATCCAGAAACAGTAAGGAATTTGCACAGGAAAAGTGAGAGATAAAAAGTGCCAGCGAGCAGAATTCAGCCTTGCACAATCACTGAGTATTATCAGTAATAGCATGTTTCCTTTGCTTGGCATGCAAAGGCGGACGTGCACTGCTAGGCTTCACATGCTCCTTAGGAGATAGGCTTTTGTGTGTTATTTTAGCCTTTAACGATGTCTGTCTCTCTATATTACAGGTTGCAGACAGTCTCGCAGAGTGGATGATCCGAAAGGCTATTGAAAAGCTGTAGCGCCAGGCAGGGCGTTGAGCAAGGAGCCCTTGGTGCTGGGGATGGCCGGCTCTCCACAGAGCGCCAGCTCATCTGCAGGCAGGCTGCTGCACGCCGCACATGGCATTTGAAGCAGAGCAGGGCACCAGGCACAGGCAGGGATTCATCACTTAAGGTTATGTGAACTGCAAACAGCTCTGTGGGACTATGTTACAGCTAGAAGGTTTCACAAAATACATGTGCATGGGTGTAAAACCATGCAGGTACTTGTAAGGATGCAGAGTGCTGTGTGTTGCATTTATGCAGATATATTTATAAAAAACCCACGTGCAGACACGTATACGTAGAGATATACAGCGCTTGTGTAGGCATGTGCGTATATATGCACAGAATGATATTCACCCCACTGAAATTTATATGTCTAAAATGGGAGACTGGTTGCACTTGTCTATCAACTTGTATCATCGCTAGAGAAAGACCAGGACCTTCAGGGGCTGTTCTGTCTAACTCATCATGGACATCTAGCTCTGGGTGGGGTGAATCATTGACTGTCTCTCCCTGCAGCCCGTTGAGGCAGTTCAGATACATAGCTTCTAGATCCCTAATGTTCAGTGGGGTCAATCCCAGCTCTGCACACAAATACAAAGAGCCAGCTGTACCACATGGTTATGACTCCTTGACTTTTCATATTAAGTATCCTTTAATTATCGTTAATCATTAGTGCCAGATGTTTGGGAATGGCCCTGAGTTCAGCAAGAGGGGAAGGTGCAAGTAAACCAGTTCATTTCTCAGAACAGAGAAATAAATTGTTTCACCTCCATGAAAACACTTTCTGTTTCTGTTTTGTTGAGAGCCTCAAGTAACTCCAAGCTTGCACCCAAAGCACTGAAGTGTGGAGGTTGGATGACGGCAAATGCTGATGCTCAGACGGAGAGGTGGATGAAGAGTGCATGGTAGTGACTCAGACTGGACCAGGGGGGTAGATGTAAGAATAAATAAAAGGTTGTGGGAAAGAGGAAAAGAGGGTGCAGAGTTTTGGAAGTAACTGGGACATAGTTCTGGGCCTCTGGCATGGGAGGACCATAAGGCAATGGAAAGCGAGGGTCTACTCCAGGTGCTCAGAGAAATGTCACAAATAATTAACTCATTACTGCAGCTGGTCTAAACGCATCAGGGTTCTGAAAAGTAGATTTAAAAATGACAGATAAAGTTTGAAAGTTTCTCACTTAAACTCTTTCATTTTTGACCAGGATGAACTATTATTCCATCTTCAATCAGCACGTAGTTGTACAATGGATAGAGACAGAAACGTCTGTGTATCTGTCTTGACAGGTTCAAGGATTAAACCTTGAAAGAGAGGCAGGACTGAGAGACCAAGAGGGAGGTAATTATGGTTTTGAAGTATTGTCTCTCAAATTGTTAATATTAATAAAAGAATGACCAATAGTCCTGGCACTGACATGACTTGCTCATATAATTTTTATTTATGTGCCATGCATTTGGGTACTCAAGCCTTACTATAGAAAAGCCCACAAGCTTCTACTTAAATCCACCTCCAGTTGGGATAACATGAAGGTGTATGACAAATTCAGGTAAGTGTTTATGACAATGACACATTATTCAAATCTTAAGAGCTCCCCTGCACAAAGACGTTTCCCTCAATTAGGACGAAGACGCACAAAGATGCAAGTCTGCAAATGCTTGCCCAAGTCTTCCCAGAGGACTCTGTAAGGATAGAGAGGTGGTTTTGTGAAACGCTGACCCGAGAGGTCCTTTCTGAACACAGGGTGGTTCATACTGGACAAGCACACACCAGAGGTGTGTTTGGGAGATCAAAAGCTTAATAAATAAAATGCCCCTGGCAAGGCAAGGCTATGAAGTTGCTCTTTCTTTCACATTGGCAAAAACTCCTAGACAAATTAAGAAAAACCAGGCCCAATAAGCCCAAAAGACCTTAAATCACACTAAATTAATTCCAAGCCTACAGTTAAGAGGGAAATCATCCAGAGATACCAATTCCAGTGGGCAGCACACATTTACTGGCAAAACACTATTTGTCTGGTAACTCAGGTTACCAGTAAGGACATCCAGACCCTGCACTTTCATGTTTCCAGATGAGAAAACTCCTGGATATCTTCCCCTGTGTGTCCCACTCCTCTGTTTTTCATTGCAACTGCAAAGCTTCTTGCATCCTTAGCAAAACCACTGCCCTGTTATCTCTGTGATGGCATTTCTCTAAGCTGGTATAACTCAATGAAGAATCGCCCAGACATGAGGGGTCAGGAAGCCTATGGCTGTAGGGTGCAGAGGGCTCATGCCCCGATACAGAACATTTTGCAGACCTCCCCTTACTGCCAAGTCTCCCCACAAACTCTCAGACAGCCTCTGCCGGACTGTCACTGCCCCTGTGCTTGGCACAGGAATCACAACACATCCAAACAGCAGAAGTCAGACCTGCTTCTCAGCCATGCAAATCACCACACTCTGTCAGAGACAGTCTGAAAAAACAAAACAACAAATGGTCAAACATTTGCACTGCTCATTTGCCAGGGCCCATCTGTGCTTCAACTTTCCAGGGCAAGTGAAATGGATGGAGAACCCTCATCTGGCAAAAAAATTACCACCAACTTTGCATCTGAACCTGCCTCCCTCCTCTGCTTCCTCACAGATTCCAGCAGACAAAGGTCTATTGTCTCATTTATTCATTTAATTATTCCATGTCAGATTTTCTCCATCAACTTCACCCACATCATTCCAGCATAATTCTCTACATTTTTCAAAATAAAGCATGTTGTCTGCCTACCCATTTTAGGACTAGCATGGGCCATAAGCTTTGCACTCTTCTTTTGTAGAAGCAGGGCTGAGCTTGTCAAAATGATGCTCTTGCTCTACAGTTCCATACAATTCTCTAAAGAGTCAAAACATCCACTGGACAGGGGAAGAAATGCAGAAGCAGCTAACACTTCCAAAAAGGTGGGCATGATCCCACTCTCAAGTCACGCACATGCACCAGTAGCTACTACAGGGTAAGAAGCAGTAGTGAGTAATATTATTATATCAGCAAAAAAAATTTAAAAATAAAAAAAATTTCCCTTTTTACACCAAGAGGGGATTCATTGCATTTCACTTCATCTTTCTACAAGTTAGCATCAGAGCTAAGTGAGCCACTCTGTAATTACAGCTTAATGGAGAGAGACCCTGTGTCTGGTTTAGGCTGGTGAAGTGAGGCCACTCTGGTTCAGACTCATCACTTAATTTTCTCTTCCCAGTTCACAGCTTTCTGTCATTCCTGTTAACTTCATATTGAGATGGAAAGATTATAATAAGGTTATGAAGGTCATGTTCCCAGAAACCTTCTAAGTGGTGACCTTCAGTGAAGGTAGCAAGAAAGCATTTCTGAATTTTAAGCCTCTGATAAGCTGCAGAGAAGAAGTCCTGTTCCTGC